ATCTTGTTTCCTCTTGTTTGACAGAACCTCTCACTTCTTAATGCTTGACTGTTTCTCTTGGTAATAGTTTTTAGAACATTTAAAAGATCTGTGCTTAAATGCTTACCATCACTTCTGTTGAACTGAACTATCTATTTGCCATGATCCTGCTTTTCAGATCTTGAGCCAGAATAATTAATAACTTTTCTTTTTTTCCTGTGATCAATCGATGAAGTTCAAGTTAAAAAAATTTTTTTGAGCAGGTGAGGAGGGGAGAGAAAAAATACCATCTTCTGGTTTATTCTCCAAATGGTCATAACTGCGCAGCTGAAACTAGAGCCCGAATCTAGGGACACAATCTGAGTCTCTGCCATGCCTGCTCCCTCCTATGATCTACATTGGTGGAATGCTGAAATCAAGAGCTTGAGTCAGGGAATGAAATCTAAGGCACTCAAATACATTACATGGTCATCTTAGTCAGTGCCTTAACCAGTAGGACAGATGCCCACATTCAAAGCTCATCTCTTGGTTTCTATTCAGCCTCTCATTAGTGGGTGTGCATTGGAAGAATTTTCAGCAATCTGACCATCCTAAAATCTGAAATTTTTAAATTTTCTTCCAGTGATTTATTTTTAAATTTATTTGAAAGGCAGAGTTACAGAGAGAGAGGGAGAGATGGAGGAGGAGGAGGGGGAGAGAGAAGAAGGAGAGAGAAAGGGAATGGGGAGGAGGAGAGATGTTGCTATCTCCTCTCTCTCCCTATCTGTAATGCTGCCTTTCAAATAAATAAATAAATAAATAAATCTTTTAAAAAATCTTTGAGGTTATGGAAATTTTTTATTTTTCTTAAGAAACCTTTTATTTAATGAGTATAAATTTCATGAGTACATCTTTAGGAATACAGTGATTATTCCCACCATACCTGTCCTCTCACCGCCATTCCCTCCCACTTGCTCCTCTCTCCTATTCCCAGTTTCATTCTCCATTAAGATTCATTTTCAATTAAATTTATACACAGAAGACCAACTCTATACAAAGTAAAAAATTTCAGCTGTTTGCAGACACACACACACAGAATAGAAAAGACTATTTGAGAACAAGTTTTACAGTTAAATCTCATAGTACGACTGCATGGGGAGTAAGTGCACAGTGACTCCTGCTGTTAATTTAATAATTAATGCTCTTTGTATATCATCAGTGATCACCTGAGGCTCTTGACATGAGCTGCCAGGGCTATGGAAACCTTTTGAGCCCGCTATCTCTGTCAGTACAGTATTTGGACAAACCCATAAGCAAAGTGGAAGTTCTCTCCTTCCTTCAGAGAAAAGTGCATCCTTCTTTGATGGCCCATTCTTTCCACTGGGGTCTCATTCACAGAGATCCTTCAAGTAGGATTTTTTTCCACAGCGTCTTGGCTTTCCATGCCTGGAATGCTCTCATGGGCTTCTCAGACAGACCAGCATGCCTTAAGGGCTAATTCTGAGGTAAGGGTGCTACTTAAAGTGATTGTCATTCTATGAGTCTACTGTGTGGACTGCTTCGTATGTTGGAACATTCTCTCCTTTTTATTTCTATCTATTATTATTAGCAGGCATTTGATATTATTTATATGACCTCTTTACCATTTAATTTTATCTATATGATCACTTTAAAACTTAATATGATCACTTTAATATTTAAGATGATAATTCCTACTTTGTAGAGTGGTGGAAGAAATGATACAGTAAATGTAAAAATATTTATTTCATTTAAGGCATAATATGTGTATTAATTGTTGATGATTGAAAAAAAATACATATATATTTTTCTAAAATTAGTACCCTAAGATGAGTGACAGAAGCAGCCATAAATAATTCATCTTTGAACACTGTTTTGAAGACAAAGTTGTGCTAACTATATCATAGCCTTTATGTGAATAAAACTAGTATTTTCTGTATTTTATAGTGTGATTATTGAATTTTCTTAATTTTAAATGGAGTAGTCTAAATAAAAATTTCATATTTTTTTGTACTGGATATTTTAGATTTGTAGCTGAAAGGAACACTCTTTTTCCCTAAAAATAGGGAGACTGTATGTATGTATATATGTTTGTATGTATATGTGTATGCATATGTTCATGTGAATTGTGATTGCTGATGATTGCCAGGTAACCTCAGTGAAATTCAGTCATGGTTACCTGCTAGTTTTCTTTAGGAATCGTCCACTTATGACTGAAGCAACAACAAGTTATGTTAAATATTTATAAAGAAAGTAAAATTAGTAACAATGTAGTTTATAAAGAAGCTCCCTTTAAAATCAATTAAGAATTATTTTACATCAAACTGTATTTTTCATGGTTTTACATATACATTAAATGTGCATGTATTTTTTAAAAGTTGTATGTTTTTAAGCCGGCGCCGTGGCTCAATAGGCTAATCCTCCACCTTGCGGCGCCGGCACACCGGGTTCTAGACCCGGTTGGGGCGCCGGATTCTGTCCCGGTTGCCCCTCTTCCAGGCCAGCTCTCTGCTATGGCCAGGGAGTGCAGTGGAGGATGGCCCAGGTGCTTGGGCCCTGCACCCCATGGGAGACCAGGAAAAGCACCTGGATCCTGGCTCCTGCCATCGGATCAGCGCGGTGCGCCGGCTGCAGCGGCGGCCATTGGAGGGTGAACCAACGGCAAAGGAAGACCTTTCCCTCTCTGTCTCTCTCTCTCACTGTCCACTCTGCCTGTCAAAAAAAAAAAAAAAAAAAAAGTTGTATGTTTTTACTTTTAGATAGTGTATATTTAATTTTTACATGTACTAATTTTTCTAAGGCCCAATTTCAGTGGTATTATACATTCTTTAAGAGCTTATATATAATGTAATGCAGATTCTGTGAAAAAACAACTTGGGTCTAACAACATCTTTCAGAAAGCAAGATGAACATTCCTATAAATTCTTTAGAGTTTATATAAATATTTCATAAATTGATCTCTAGATGTGAATATTTTTGGAATTTGGAGTAAAATAATTTTATTTAAAAGAAAGGATTGACATTGTTAAAAGTAACATTTTAGATCAATTGGTATTATGAAATTATATTGAAATTTGCCTAAAGAGTTTTATGACTAGAGAAATATCACTTTTCATGTTGCATATATATATATATATATATTATATTACTGTATCACAATATGGAGTTGCTATTTTGTGAGCCAGTCAGTAGAGAATTTATCAAGAAGTAATTTCTTGAAAGTGTGAGCATGGTTGTTTTAAAAGAGTGAACCTAATAAATAATAGTACTATTTTCTAGGAATTGATAAAGACAAGTAGTAAGGAGTTGAGTACATAAGAAAGTGAAAGCAGTGCCTTAGTAAGACTAATGAGTGCCTAAAATACTCATCTTTGGCTTTTCAAACTAAACCTTTTAGATCATCACTCAGTCAAGAGTGGCAAGTAGTGACCATTAGGTGGATTCATTAACACCCCGCAGCCTGCGTGTACAGGATGACCCACATCTGTCTTCATTAGAAGTGTTCTAGTTGCCAGTAGCGAACAGATGGGTCATTATTGCCAACACTGCCCTCTGGGCCTACCTGGAGGACATTCAAAGTCATCTCATTCAGAACACAGATCTATGCTTCCCTACTATGGTGTGAGAAAAATATTGAGTAATTATGATATATTAAGATAGAGTTTTACTAATAGAGTGCTCATGTGGATTCGTATTTGTAAACAGTTCATGCAAAGATACTATTGTGAAGGAGAGAAAACAATCTAAATGTATATTTATAATGTGACCATTGTGAACATCTGAAAAAGCTAGAATACTTTAATTGAAAATTAGGCATAGTTGGATCATAAATTTTCATTCAGATTATTTGAATTTAATAATATATTGAAAGATTTTAGTAGAAACAAAATATGTGATAAGTATGGTTATTTTTGATGATACTTCTATATCATAAATACTATGTATTTCAAGTTTTCCTTTTAGTTTTTCTGATGGGCTTTAAATAGTACTATACCTAATAATATGAGGGTACTTCATAAAATAAGTGGAGGAATGGGTTTAAAAGATAAGATTATTTTGTTGTAAATAAACCTTAGAATTCATGCATTATTTTTCCTAATGTGTATTTTCCATCAACTTTTTGAAGACCCCTTACTTGTATGTTAAATTCCAAGGTTAAGATTTTAAAATCTTTGTGATTTGTGTCTATAAGCAGTATGATTTAAACAAATTCATGTTTCTGGTCTGAAATTATAAGACTCTATAGACAATATAACATTGAATTATATCATTAAAGAAGAGTTATTTCCTTCAGCAGTATCAAGCACTTTTCTAAGAGCAGATTAATTACATTCATTGTGTAACATCGAAACTGTAATGACAGCAAGAAATTGACTGCACATTTATCTTTGCACTCCTGCTTCTCTATTTCTACTGAGAGACTTTTTTGTTGGTTAGCTTTCAGAGTCACCACAAGTGCAGTACACCTTGTTATACTTAGAAATCAGGAAAACTATTTTATCAAATGGCATTCTGTGTATAATGTTGTATGACAGTTTTAAATCTAGTTTTCTTTGTTTAGAAACCTGGAGGCTAGACTTCTGAGGAAATGCAGTACCTTGAAATTCTGGTAATTTATTGGTTTGTTAGATCAGCTCACTAGTGGTGAATTTATTTTCTTTCATGTTAACTTTCCAAGAGAAATATATTATGAGGACTTCCAAATTATAATAGCAATAACAAAAGGCCAGATTTCCCTTTATAACATTCTTAGGTGAAAATAAACTTTGCTTAAGGAGTTTGATAAGGATATAGTAGAAGCACAGTGCCCTGCTTTCTTTTTATGATAATGCATGCATTTTCTTTATGATCTTTTTTTTTTGATAGTGGAGAGAGAAATATTTTTAAGGATAATATTTCTGATAATATTCTAGTTCTGTATTTGAGATAAGATTTATTTTATTTTGGTATAAGTGTCCTTTTATGACTTTCAGGTTATCTAAGGAGCAAAGACAATACAGGAATTAAGAATATGTTGTGGGGAATTTGTATAATATATTTATTCAATCATAATGATTCTCATGGAAAGAGCTGAAAATGAGAAAAGATCACATCAATAGCACAGTAATATTTAATCTTGTGAGAATAGAACTTTTCTAAGATTTATTCGAGAGAGTTACAGAGAGGGAGAGGGAGAGAGAGAAAAGGAGAATCTTCCATCTACTGGTTCATTCCCCAGATGGACGCAGTGGTCAGGGCTGGTGGGTCAGGCTGAAAACAGAAGCCAGGAGCTTTATCCAGCTCTCCCACATGGTTGGCACAAGCACGTGGATCTTCCCCTGCTGGTTTTCCAGGCCATTAGCAGGGAACTGGATCGGAAGTGGAGGAGCTAGGACATGAAGTGTGGCCCTTATGGAATACCTGAATTGCAGACTGTGCCTTACCCTTCTGTGCTATGATGCCAGCCTGGAAAGTAGAACTTTTAATAAACTTATCTTTTAATTCATTTTTCCACAAACTTAAAAAAGATTTATATTCATATATTTGAATGGTAGGGTGACACACACACAGAGGGCAAGACAGAGGTACAGAGAAAATTGATCTTCTAGTCATTGGTTCACTCCTCAAATTCCTGCAACAGCCAGGGCTAAGCCAGGCTGAAATGAGGAGGCAGGAACTGTATCTGGGTCATCCACATGGGTGGCAGGAACCTAAGTACTTGGGCCATCAGCTGCAGCTTCCTAGGTATATTAGCAGAAAGCTGGACTGGAAGCATGAAGTAGCGGGGTCTCTAACTTGCACAGTGACAATGGGATGCAGCCATCTCAAACAGTGGCTCAACCTACTGTACCATAACACCTACCCCTGAAATTTGCTTTTTGATTTAATGTTATTTATTTGATACATTAGGATATTTAGGGCTTATCAGAGCAACATGTAGCTATTTTCACTATTTTTATCTCGTATTTTTTTTCAAAGTAATTTTATATATAGCAACATTTCTTTATCAGTTTCTCTTAATTTATCTTTCAGATTGTGGGACACTGATTCTCAGACCTTTTGGCTTTAAAGCTATTTTTTTTGTTATTCAATGTTATTCAAGGTCTTTCATTCCAGGTCACAAATTTTCCATTACAATAAGGAGAATAGCACTAGTTGAGTCCTACCACTTGGGCCCCAGTCAAGGGAAACCCCAACTCAAATTATAAAGTAACAGACATGTAGTTGAACATGGAATAAATGTTGGAGGAAAGGCATTTAAAATAGAGATAATGGGGTCAAGATTGTATGTGCATAAACACTTTGAGGTCTGGTTTATCAGGATGATACTGTTTTAGCACATGATTAAATTAAAACTGAACTGCAAAGAAAAGCAAAATCAAACAAAACCAATAAAGGAAGAGATCCAGCTGTGGGGTTGACATGCAGACCTCTGGTCCTTTGGCCCTGCAGCAGCAAATTTGTGGGTTTCATAGAAATTTCTCCATAATAAGGAATGACTGGGCCACACATGACCGGGACCTGGCTGTGACACTGCCACATTTCCAAGTCCTGTCTCCTCACAGAGGAAATCTGTCAGTGGTCTGCTCCGGTGGGGCCTCCATTTCTCGTCCCTTTGAGAACAGTTCCGAACTCCTGAAAAGACCATGCAACCTTGAGGCCGCCAGGGAGCAGCAGGGAGGCGGGTCAACGTCAGCCCCGGGCCCTGCTGGAGCTGTCTGAATGGTTGACCGGGAGCGGGTGGGCCTCGGTGTTGAACACCCAGTCTTCCAGAGAGAGCACGTCATCGTCAGAGAACAGAAGGTAGAGATACTTGAGTGTCTCCGCCAAGAAGAAACTCTGCTGCTTGTTGTCGTGGCTGGGGGTGCTGCTGTACACGTCCCGGATCCCCGAGAAACCGGCCTCAGTCAGGCAGTATTTCTCCAAGGCCACCACCACCTCCCAGCCCCACTCCCTGTAGATTGGGTCGTGGGTCTGGCGCCACAAGTACATGTAGCTCTCTACGACCTCTGGCCGCAGGGTGTAGGAGCTCTCCCTCGCATAGATGGCCATTGCCTCTCTGCTGGACTTGAACCAGAAGACCTCAGGCCCAAGTTTGGTATCTGAGCGGGCGTACGACTCGTGGCACGTCTTGGTGATCTGGGCGGCGAGCTCTCGGTAGTGGGCCCTCTTGGTCTCCTTTGCCTCCTCAGTGCCAAGGGCAATCATGCCCCCGGCGAAACAGGCCAGGTGGTTCATCTTGTTTATCACAGTCCCCTCTTTCCACTCAGCAATGTAGGTCAGCCCCCCAGGCGAGACCTTCAGCAAGTTGGTCTCGATTGCCTCCAGGGCTTTGTAGTACATAGTTTTAGCCTCCAAATCTGTCTTGGCCGACATAAACCAGGATTTGATCAAATACTCATAAAAACTGTCACCGAGGCCCCCAACCGAGACGTGTTGCAACTCCCACTTACCGCTCAGTGGGCTGATGAGATTGGGGTAGAGGCCGAAGGGCTTATCCGTGTTCTGGAGGACCTTGCGGATGTTCCTGATCTTTCTCGCAAAGACCTGCTTGCCAGAAAGCTCTGTGAGGTGTAAGAATTCCAAGTGCAGAGATCCAAACTCGGCCAGGACGCTGCTGTCGCTCATCGTGTTCCAGTCGCAGCCGAAGCTCCCGCTCCGGCTTTTGAAGTTGATACACCTCATTGGGATTCCTGTGGGGGTTTTGAAGGCTGGCAGGAGTTTACCCCCGAGTTCTATGGCCTTTACTCGGAACACCTCTTCGCCCGTCAGGTAGAAGGCTGAGAGGAGCCCTCCAATGTAGCGGATGTTCACCTCAAACAGAGATGCCACTCCACTCACGTTCAGGTGGAAACTCTCTTCAACCCAGGCCTTGGCCTCCCTGAATTCCTCCTTAAGCTCCATGAGGAAGAGGGTGTCTAGGGAATCAATGACAGTCGCTCCGCCGAGGCCTCCGAACAGCTTGCCCTCATAGCCGTCTTTTGTTAGTGGACGGAGCTCGTTTTGCCCCATTGCGTAGCGCTTGTAGTTCTGCCAAGCAAACTTCATCATCTCCTTGATTTTCTCCCTCTGGGCTCCCACTGGGCTCTGAGAAGACTTCTCATCTGCCCCGGTCCCTAGGACCGGGTGGCGGAGGCGGCTGCGGAATGCATTGAAGTCGAAGCTGAACAGGACACTCTTGTTCTTCGGCCTAATGGCTGCGATGGTGGGCCACATGCGTCGTGCTCCCCCTTTCTTGCGTAGGATGCGGGACTGGCTGCGGGGTTCATGCTCGCCCAGGGCAGGGGCAGCGGGGGCCGGCTTGGGAGGCGGCAGTAGCCCGTGGGCCAGGAGGTGGCTGGAGACATCAGCCACCACCTCCTGGTCAGGCTGCTGGATCCGCGGAGGCAGGAAGAGGGGCAGCAGGAAGAGGGCTCCAAAGCACAAGGTGACAAGGCCAGAAAGGAAGAGGAGGAAGTGGAACTTACGTTGTAGCCTGAGCCGCCGCACGGAGGGTGGCTGGAAGCCAGACACTTTCAACCAGAGCATGATGGCTCAAGAGCATGGTCCCTGGGAGAGGCACATGTCCTTTTGCAGCTCCGGGCGATCCATGCCCCAGGGGACCATCCCCGAAGTTTACAGAGTTTGGAGTCACTCCAGCTCTGGGCCCAAGAAGAGCAGAACAGGAGGCTTGGGCCCACGGCCCTGGCTGTCACCGCGGGCTGCAGCCTTTTCCTCTGTGGCCTTCCTGTGCTGCGGCCGCGCCAGGCCGACAAAAGCCAGTGCTGTGACGCTGAGTGGCAGCTGCAGCCCCGGTTCCCCGGCCTGGCTCCCGCGCTGCCCCTCCCTTAAAACTGGTGGTGATCCAAAAGCACATGTATTTATATGGGTTATATGTGATGATACATAATTGTAGTAGAAAGTGAAATACAGAATATTTAAAATACAAGAATACACAAGTGTTCTTGAGTCAAAGTTTTCGAATTATTAAAATAATTTTAATCTGCAGATTCTGTGAAAAGGTTTAAAGTAGTCCTAGGGATCACTGGAGCAAACTATGAGAACCATGACTGTGGAGTCTTTGAAGTTAGACAGCATTGTGTTTATTGATTAAATGCTCAGACCATAGTACTTAATATACATGTTAGCTAATAGTTAATAGTAAAAATTCTGTTTTTAAAAACGTGATAAAGCTATATATGTAGCTTTGAATAGAACTATTTTTAGTTACAAAGTAAAACTATCCTTTTAAAAATCATAAAGTTCTCATTTAGAATGAGATTAGATTTCCTAAGTATACCTGTTAGAATTATAGTGACCTTTACAGATATTGCTGGCATTTGCAACTCTAATATCAAATGTCTTCCAATGTTATGCTGTCAGCAAGGAACATGAGGATTGACTAGTTTGAAATGGCAGTCTTAGGAAAAAATAAAAAAAAAAAACTTTTAAATTACCCATAACTACTTTTAATGTCAAAATCACATATACCAATCTCATTATTATTATTATTATTATTTTTGACAGGCAGAGTGGACAGTGAGAGAGAGAGACAGAGAGAAAGGTCTTCCTTTGCCGTTGGTTCACCCTCCAATGGCTGCCACGGCCGGCGTGCTGCGGCCGGCGCACCGCGCTGATCCGAAGCCAGGAGCCAGGTGCTTCTCCTGGTCTCCCATGGGGTGCAGGGCCCAAGCACTTGGGCCATCCTCCACTACACTCCCTGGCCACAGCAGAGAGCTGGCCTGGAAGAGGGGCAACCAGGACAGAATCCGGCGCCCCAACCGGGACTAGAATGCGGTGTGCCGGCGCCGCAAGGCGGAGGATTAGCCTAGTGAGCCACGGCGCCGGCCCTCAATATTATTTTTAATGCTTCTGATATCTCCACAAATTTATTGCTTTTGGGAGCACTTTTTATTCCAATGTATGTATTTGTTGTAAATGGAACATATAAGGACAGATGTTTGACATATCAGTTAAATTATGACTTGGAAAACCTGCATCCCCATATTGGAGTGCCTGTGTTCAAGTTCTGGCTGTCTGGATTCCTCTTGGGAAGCAGCAGGTATTGGCTCAGCCTGCTGCTTGCATGTACACTTGGATTAAGTTCCTAGCTCCAGACTTCAGCCTGGCTCAGCTTTTGTAAGCATTTGAGAACAAACCAGTAGGTGGGAGATTTCTCTGCCTCTCAAAAAAAAAAAAAAAAAAAAAATTAAAAGGACACATAAAATTGTGTCTACTTATTGTCTACAATATGATTTTTGATACATGTATGTTGCAGAATAGTTTAATCTAGCTAGTTAACAAATGCATTACCTTAACGTGAAGTTATCATTTCTGTGGTAAGACCCCTCAACATTTACTTCTAGTGTTTTTTAAGAATATGTCATCATATAGTTAGTATGCTGTATATCTCTTGACCTTATTCTTCCAAAGTGTAAATATGTATCCTTTGACCAACATCTCTACCCACACTCCCACCTCTGGTAACCACCATTCTATTCTATGAAATCAACATTTTTAGATCCATATACAAATGAGATAATTTAGTGTTTGTCTTTAAGTGCCTCACTTATTTCTCTGAACATGAGGTCTTCAAGTTTTATTCTTGTTGTCCCAAATTACAGGATTTCCTTCTTTTTTATGGCTGACTGGTATTGCACTGTGTATATATACCACATTTTCCTTATCCGTTCATTCCTTGATGAATATACTTAGATTTTATGTCTTGGTTGTTGTAAATAGTGCTGATATGTACAACAGAGTTACAGATATATCTTTGAAATACTGATGTTGTTTCTTGTGACTATATATCATGTAGTAGGATTGCTGGATAAGTTTTTTTTTTTTTTAATTTTGGGGAGAATTCTATTCTGTTTTCTAGAAATGTACTGGTTTACATTCCCATTGACAGTGTGCATCCTTTTTACTTTTTTTTTTTTTTTTTGACAGGCAGAGTGGACAGTGAGAGAGAGAGAGAGAGAGAGAAAGGTCTTCTTTTTCTGTTGGTTCACCCCCCAGTGGCCGCTGCGGCCGGGGTGCTGCGGCCGGCGCACCACGCTGAGCCAGGTGCTTCTCCTGGTCTCTCATGCGGGTTCAGGGCCCAAGGACTTGGGCCATCCTCCACTGCCTTCCTGGGCCACAGCAGAGAGCTGGACAGGAAGAGGAGCGACTGGGACAGAATCCAGCGCCCTGAGTGGGACTAGAACCCGGGGTGCTGGCGCTGCAGGCGGAGGATTAGCCTATTGAGCTGTGGCGCCAGCTATACTTTGTTTTTTTATAATGGCCATTCTAACAGGAGTGAATTAGTATCTCATTATAGTTTTTATTTGCATTTTCCCATTTTCCCAGTGATTATTATGTTGAGAATCTTGTGTCTGTATCTGGGCCTTTTGCCCATTTTTTTTTTTTTTTTAAGATTTAATTATTTGAAGGGAAGAGTTATAGAAACCAGAAGTGATAAATCTTCCATCTTCTGGTTCATTCCCTAAATGACTGCAAAAGCCTGGCCTGGACCAGGCTGAAGCCAGCACCCTGGAAATGCATCTTGGTCTCCCACATGGGTGGCAGGGATCCAAGTACTTGGGCCATCTTCTGCTATTCTTCCAGGTGAATCAGTAGGGAGTTGGACCAGAAGTGGAACAACTGGGACTCAAACTGGTACTCATATAAATTGCTGGTGTCACATGTGGCGGTTTAACTCTGTGTGCTACAATGCTGACCCCTCTTTTGCCCACTTTTTAATTGGATTATTTTCTTGTTATTAAGTTGTTTGAGTTCCTTATACATTTCAGATAATTAGTTCCTTGTTAGAAGTTTTGTAAAATTGTAAAATTGTAGTACACTTATTTTCTTTCATTAAATAGGTTGTCACTTAGTCTGTTTGATATTTTCCTGTGCATTGCAAGAACTTTTTAGTTTCATGGAATTTCATTAGTACATTTCTCCTTTTGTTGCCTGTGCTTTTGGAATCATAAAAAAATCATTTCTTAGATCGATGTTCCAGAGCTTTCCTTCTATGGTTTCTTGATGTTTCATAGGTTTGGGACTTACCTTTAAGTCTTCAATCTATTTTCAGTTCATTTTTGTATACATTGTGAAATAAGCACCTGATTTCATTCTTCTGAATGATATTCAGTTTTCCTAACAACAGAAACTATTGTTTCCCCAATATGTATTCTTGGCACTTTTGCTGCAAATCACTTGTCTGAAATGTGCAGTTTTATCTCTATGCTCTGTATTCTTTTACATTGGTCTGTGTTTTTGTTTTTATGTCAGTGTCATGGTATTTTGTTTTTCAATTTTTCTCTGAGCTATATGATGTTTTCTGTAGGTTCGTCATATAAGGTCTTTATTGTGTTGAGGCACAGTCCTTCTATACCTTTTTTTTGTAGCTTTTTTTTTTATCACGAAAGGATGTTGAATATTGTCAATTTTTTTATATTTATTGAAATGATCTTACAATTTTTGTCCTTATGTTAATGTGATATATCATGTTTATTGATTTGTGTATGTTAAACAGTCTGTGGGGCTGACTCCCAATTGATCACACTGAATGATTTTTTTTTTTTTGAATGATTTTTTTTTTTTTTGGAGAGAGATCTTCCATCTGTTGGTTCACCTCCAAAATGCCTGTAACAACCATGGTGTGCTCAGGTTGAAGCTTGGTGCCTGGAACTCCATTTGGGTCTCCCACATTGATAGCAGAGGCACAGGTACTTGAGCCATCATTTGCTGCCTCTCAGGATTCATTAGCAGGAGGCTGCTGGGTCAGAAGTGGAGTACCTGGAACTTGAACTGGCTTTCCAATATAGGATGCAGGTGTCCCAATAGGAGATTTAACCCACTTGCCCCTTCCTAAGCTTTTGTTTATTTTGGAAAGTATTTATTGTTTCTTAATTTTTAAAGGATGTTATTTTCTGGGAATATGATTCTTGATTGGCTTTTTTCTCCCTATTCCGCATTTGAGTATATCATTTTATTTACTCATGAGCTTTAAGATTTTTGCTGAGAAGTCTCCTGCTAGGGGAATTATAGCTACCTTATATATTTTATTATTTTTCTTTTCTTGATACTTTAAGGATCCTCTTTTTCTTTTATCTTTGTCAGTTTGATCATGGTATATCTTTGGGTAGTGTTATTTGGACTAAATTTGGTTTATACCCTTGATTTTCCTGTATTTGTTTGTATCTTTCTCCAGGTTTGGAAAATTTTCTGCTATTACTTATTTAAATATGTTTTCTACTCCTTCATCTTTCTTTATCCTTATGAAAATCATCTAGTTACTTGAATATTTGTTCTTTTTATGCTGTCCTACAGTCATTGAGCTTTCTTCATTTCGTTCTTATTTTTCTGTTTTTTTTTTTCCTCTGATTGCCTATTTGTGTATGACCATTCTTTGAGCTCAAATGTTTTTTCTTCTGATATATATCAGTTCTTCTCTTAATGTTATCTATTGGACTTTTCGTTTCTTTATATTTTTTCATTTCTTTATATTTTTCAGTGTCAAAATTTCTTTTTGATTTTTTTAACTTATTTATTTCAAAAGCAGAATGAGAGAGGAATACAGCTAGATAGGTAGGTAAATATATATATGTAGGGAGAGGTCTTTCATCTGCCAGTTCACTCCCTAAATGACCACAGTAGCCAAGCCTGGACCAAGCTGAAGCCAGGAACAAGGAATTCCATCTGGGTCTCCATGTAGGTGACAGGGTCCCAAGTACTTGGGCTGTCTTCTGCTTTTCTAGGCACATTGGAAGGAAGG